TGCTCCTAATCTCAACTAAGAGAAGTTTAACATATGTTAGCTTGTTCTGCAGATGAACAGTCTCTTCTCATTCTTTAGGAAGGTAACAAGATGAAATAAAAACCTCCTCAGCGAACGAGAATAGAATGCAACCTCTCGGTGCGTTTCAGGTAAGACCCGGACTAGTCCAGGTCCTATACCTGACATTCGAACTGATGAGCTGTTTCCTCCTCTCTGGAGAACCTTCAGAGAGAGACGAGCGGAGCTCACCGGCTCACACTGCCAACTGATGTGATTCAGAATCTTCAGGCTTAAATAACCCCGCGGGAACGCGCCACGTGGAAATTATTTTTACGGGAAAATAAATGACCTGGTCGTTTTTTTTTGGAAAATGCTCTAACTTATCTGAAACTCAATCAAATTGAATCTTTCTTGGGTTTTTTTATATCAACATTTGATTTTAAACTCGAATATATTGTTCATTTGTTGTTTGAATGATGAAGAGGCATCGAAAGTCGACTAATTTCTAATTGAAATCTTATTGAAAGCTCAGTTCATATCAGATTTTAAGTTTCTCTGTAATAATCCTATTACCGAGCAATTGAGTGCAAGGCTCAAACATCCATGGAGGTCATATCAATCGTAATCCGCCCTTTAATGGTACTCGGTACTGTGCAGTTGCGAAATAACGTTTCTGACGTTTGCCAGTCTATTACGTATAGAAGAACAAGGTGGCATGAGCTTGAACTTCTCTCATTCCTTTCCTTTTTCATTCAAAGCTGAAGATGATTTCATCACCAAGATAATTGGAAATGTCGAATGGTAGGTTTGCCTTTCAATACTTTACAATCTGTATTCAGGGTTATGAAACTCTTTTTAAAGTACAATGTTGGCGTTGTTGTGATAAGTAGCAAACCGATTGGAGAGAAAACCTGCCCATTGGTTCCCTGGACTGTAACTTTCGATGTATGTGTTTCTAAAACCGTTCCGGGCTTTGGGGAGCAGAATACTGTATGTTTTCGAGAACTTTCTCATCGAACCGTTGTTGCTTTTCAGATTCATACCATTATTGAACAGAAAATAAATGCTGTTACAAGCGCTGAGTTTGCTAACGTTGAGATGGAGACCTTCTCTGTTCAACCAAACGTTAAGTCGTTGAAAGTAGAGATCAGCAACATCAGGACGAAGGGAATTCAGTTAGTTTACGTTAGTAGTTCCAATTATCTTGATTCTCATAGTAAATTCGGAATGAAAAACTTGGATAGTGCAGATGCAAAGGAAGATTTGGTATTGGATGTTGATGGTGAGAAGCTTCACTGCCACAGTCAGGTAGGGGAGTTGCTGCTCTTCGTTTGTATTTTTGAATCTCAGATTCTATCTTGGAACTCCAAGATCTTTAAAAATATGATCGAAGAGGGGTGAGAGCTAACTAGGTGACTGTTCCAACCATTCCATTGCAGCGAAGTGCCTTCTGAAATCTGCTTGAAGGATATGATTCCACTCCTGGAACTTCGAGAACTTCTTCATTACCTCTACTTACCTTGTGAGCCGGTAGATGGTATGATGTCCGTCGCGGTTCGAACTTA